TCACTCGTCTTAGCTTTTCCATTGCAAAAGGAGTGGGGGCCCAGATAGTATCTCGGCTCCCCTCCAATTTCTTGTAATTCTTTTGATCCGATAATAATAATAATAATAATAATAATAATAATAATAATAATAAAATAAAAAAATAATAATAATAATAATAATAATAATAACAAAAACATTTTTTAACTGAATTAGACAAAATATTGGGCCGGGCTGATTAAATTCCGAACGAAATTCTCAGAAGCCCAATAAAAATTTTCTTGTCCGTGCATCGATTTGACAATGCTCAAACTAGAAAAATTGTATGGGAAATTTTAATCCATCCTACAAGATTCTCAAAAAATTATAAAAATACAATCCATAAATAAATAATTATATCTCTACCTAATATGTAATATATAACTACATTAATGCCTAAAGTAAGTTACTATATCCATTCAACATCCATCCTCCTTTTTGTGGAGTTGATTAAGAGAGAAATGAAAAATAATAATTGACTCATTTAATTCCTTAATTCACGCAGCTTGCACATTTTTTAGTAAAGAGAAATTAAAACATATATTGTAATTCACGCATCCGTCAGGTGGTATATTTTTCGTTTATGTTGGTATATATTCAGTATATGTTGCAATGAAAAACATGTCTTCCATAAAAAAATTGTGTCTTCTTTTTTTTTTTTCTTTTTTACTTTTATACATAAAAGTATATAAACATATTATAATTGTTACTCATATTATCTATATATTGGTCATATACTCCATACACACACAAATGTACATTGAATAGTTTACAAAAAAAACTTCTAATATACTGAACATATACTCCTTATACACACCACATATACTGCCTGCCTATACACGCAACATATCTCGCTGTGAACATATACTGCATGCCTATACACGCAATATATACTGTCGTGTTGTAGATATATTGTACATATACTCAACATATATGTCTTTTCACGTAGATATATTGAAAATCGATGACTCACGGCGCTGGGGCATCTAGGGAGGTTGTTGTACATTTTGTCACGGCGAATGCGCTCCTTCTCGGCCTCGTGATGCGGGCCTCAACTTCCTCGTCACGGCGCTGCGGGATCTGGGATCGGGTTGAACTTGGGGCGGTTGGAGTTGTAGTGGTTTGGAAGAGGTGTCGACGAGACGGAAGGAGGCGTCCTCGTCGGCAACGAGGGTGACGAACGAGTCGTTGCCGGAGAAATTGAAGGCGGAGTCGGACGGGTGGTAGTCTCTGCCATGCTTGGATTCGGATCGGGCCTGGTTGTTGATGTTCAGGGTCCAATCGGCAATCCGACCTTAGCTTCTCAGAGCGAGAGAAGGGGGCCAAGGGGACGTTGGAGGGGTGGTTGGGGACGGAGAGCGCAACAAAACTGGATTCCGGCGGGCCCCAACCATCGGGGTTGAACGGCACGGCGCCTACCTTGAACCTACCATAGTTGATTGGATTGTTTCTGTCATTTGTTTGAGATCGGATGAGTGATAATAGGTTGGAGAAGAATAAAATTCCCGTTTGATCTTTCTTCTCTAATTAAAGGATATAAGTTACTAAAAGTTGAATTCTAGGTATAATTGAAAATATTTGTAGCTTCATTAGGTAATTTTAATAATTAGTATATAAGGGGTAAAAAAGTGTTATATAATTTAAATATGTTAGTATAAGGTGCAATTTCCTTAAATTGTATTGGTTTAGTGCCACACAAATGTAACGAGAACATATTATCAGCCAAATTACACAAAGTTTCGGGCTGGGTTGATTAATTTTCCAAAACGAGAAGCCCAATCTACCTTGCAAAACTTTTCATTATATCCCAATTCTCATTAGTCCATAAATGATGGACTTTCTTCACGGGGGAGACTACATCTTGGGCCTCATTCTTCTGATGTTGTAGATCAAACCATCCATAATGGGCTTTAGGCCCAATATATAACCCCATACAAACAATACAAATTGAGTCGCATTAAAAGATGTCATTTTCCAAATTAATCAACTTAACCATATTGAAAGAGACTCAATACCAGTAAAGGGACTAAAGTCACATGCAGCTTGCTCGAATAAACAAACTCAGTCATCATAATATAACCAACTTATTTCTTTGTTTTTATTAATAGTATTAATTAAAATAACATGTAGTCATACTTTTGTACGGAAAATTCAAGTGAGTGTGTAATATATTTCTACCATTTATTGAAGTGTTCTTTTATTTATTATAGAACTTAGTGGCTTGTCTTTTAGAGGTATAAAGGAGTCAAGTCGAGCACAAACTTCTGATAACTACGCTCGACTCAAGCCTTTGATCAACAAAAAGCTCGACTAAACAAGTCTATAAATGAGCTCAAACTCAATCCGTTTATCTATTCAATAATTTGAATTCGAGTTATAGCGAATAAAAATTGTGCCGAGGTAAATTAGCAATCTAAAAAATTACATAGAATCCCTATTATTGATTCATAAAGAACAAAGTTAGAACTCGGTCAACTCAACTTGTTAAGTAAATGAGCATATAAACAAGCTCGATAACTGGTTAGTCAGTATAAATAAGCTGAATCTAGGGGTGAGCATGGGTACGATTCGTTGAAAAACCGCACCGAACCGAAAAAAATCGAAAAACCAAACATAGCAAAAAAATAACCGAATCACGCTGCAACTTAGAAAAAAAATGGACCGGAATCGAACCGAAATTTTTACACTAAAATAACCGAACGAACTGTACTGAAAGGCACAGTTCAGCTAAGTGTTCGGTTTTTTATATACATTTTATTTAATTTGGTGCGGTATGGTGCAAAATCACACCGAACCGAACAAAATCGGAAACCGAACTTATGAAAACTATAATTGCACTGCACCGCAATGTAGAAAAAAATAAAACCAAAACCGAAGCGAACCGCACCGAATTGCACGGTTCGACTCAATTTTTTTTTTATTTCGGCTTGATTTTGCTCAGCCCTAGCTGAACCCACGGATCTACCTTTGGCCTGGGCTGGGCTTCAGTCCAGGCCTGTTATTTTTTTTTTTCTGGGCAAGGCTACATGTACAATTGTAGTTTACAACATTAGTTGACAAACAAAGTTAAAATTAACATTAACTCAAACTTAACCATACATTTATTTGCACCTCAACTACACATTATGCCACATCATGTTGCCATTGAATATTGTACAAAAAAGTTGTACAAGTAGCTTTTTCCTTTTTTTGTTTTTTTTTTCTTTAACAACTATTAGTATGAAAAAAATTACTGTATTTCTAGCTCAGCCCAATAAACCAACTTACTAACCCATCAAAATAATTCATTATCTATTAAATCAAAAAGTTACTAACACCACTCTAATAATATACAACAAGCCCCTATCAAATAAATTAGCCACGATTATATCCTTCCTCTGAACACCCAAACAATGAATTTAGAAGGAAAAAAAAAAAAATAAACTACTCAACAAGAAAGAGCTACTTTCGTGAAGATGATTTAATTTATTCTTTAATATTAAGTTATATTTTTAAACCCCCTATTAGATATTTATTTCATTTGTCTAATTGTCTTTGTCTATCTTCTCGTTTTAATTGAGCTATTTAGGATTTTCATAGTCATTGCCATGATCTTGCTTGCAATTCTTGTTTTGTTGATTGTGTATGAAGTAGCAATTGTGTGTATCTGTGTGTGTTTTAATCTCTTATCATCTAGTGTAGTTGTTGTATATCATAGTTGGATATAAATTTGTGATGTGCATAAATTTCATTTTGCTAATAACTATGTCATATGTAAAATCTATTTATTTGTATTATGTAATTTTTAGAAATTCACATGGAGCACCAACATTCGCTCAATAAATGAAAAACAACGTTTGTATCATTATTCTTTAAAAAATGAGCTCGACGTCAAACTTGTGAAAGCATATCAAATACGCCGTGCAAAATGAGTATAAAGAAGCTCATCTAGCACAACTTCAGTGAATATGTGAAAAAAAATATCCTCCTTATATATTATTCCCGAATGTGCTGAGCCTACGTGGCTGTTTCTGGTGCTTCGGAATCCTATTTGGCAAAGAATCATGCTTCGTAATTAGGTTTGGACAAATAATATTGATATATTAATAATTAATAATTTAGGTTTGTACATTCCATAAATATTATTTAGCTAACTTAGGTATTTTAATATCACTTGTACTAATATAACTTTTTATTTCTTTGTAATTTTACATACTGAGGCACTAAGTGACTAATATATGCCTAACTTTTGATTTGTTTCCTTCAATTAGCTATTGAATTATAAATGTATTTTAAAAGTTGATAACTTTTGTATTTCTTATCGGTTTTACATATATAATATATCAAATTAATCATCTTTTGATGATATTCGATTTGACATCCATATTTTATATATGAAATAAATAAATTATATTTGTCTTTATAATAATAAAAAATAATAATATTTATTAAAATTCATTAGAAAAATAAAATTATTTCTCAATTGATATATTTATGTTTAATGTAGTTATATGTTGTGTTTAAAAAATTATTATAATATAACACATGTAAGTTGTACAAATAAAAAGTTTCATACTAAATATTTAATAATATTATAAAAGATATTTAAATTTGCAACTACTTTTTCTCATTAATTTTAGATTTTAAGAAAAAATTAGCAAGCACCCGTATAATACACGGGCGTTGTAACACAGCCAGCACCCTCCACCTCACTTCAAATTCTCATGAACTTTTCAGTTACTACTACTGTCACAGTGTCACTCACTCCTCTACCGTTGTTTAAAAAAAAAAAAAAAAAAAAAAAAAAAAAAAAAAAACATTTCAGGTTTTACATTTTTTTTCCCTCTTCATTACTCCTTTTGAAAAATAATAATAATAATAATAATAATAATAAAATCAATATATATATATAAATATTCTAGTTATAATTTTATTTAATTGTCACTTGTTTCTCTACAGAATTCCTTTCTCCTTCTGAACCACCCACAGAAAAATCAACCAAAATGACCGCCGGCGGCGGCGGGGAAACCAAGCTCGCCACCGCACTAATCGTAATCCTCGCAATCGCACTGCTCGCGCTCCTCGCCGAGCTCCTCTACCTCCTACGGCGTCGCAGCCGCAAGGCCGGTCAGGTCCCCGCCGCCGGAGACGACGAAATTTCCCAGATCTCGGCGGATTCCTCCCTCTCCTCGTTCACCGCCTCCAAGGACCTGCTCTACTTCCTCTGCGGGCGGCCACCACCGCAGTTCCGCCTCGAGCGCAACTCTGCCGCCGCCGATCCCGAGGCTCCCGGGGGCCTCGATTCCGATCTCCGGCCGGATATAGAGGCCGTCGACTTCGACCTGGTGAAGATTCACGGCGTGTTTGGCCCGCCGAGGTTTCTATTCACGATCGTGGAGGAGGAGAGGGAGGATCTGGAGCCGCCGGCCGGAAAACACGGCAGGCGAGAAATTCGGGGCGCCGCCGCGCGTAGGGTGAGCTTGGAGGACCATTTCAGGGCGGCGGCGCTGGATGAGGAGGATAAGGAGACGGTGGCGGTGGCTCTGGACATGGTGGTGGATATTGACGATGCCAGACTCGACGACGCGACGCCATTCTCAACGCCCTGCGCATCGCCGGTGTATTTCACGCCGCCGGCCTCGCCGGGTCAACGGACGGTCAACGGACGGTCAACGTAAGGGAGCTTGATGACGTCAGGCATAGAGAAGCACCGACTGCGTGGGCAGAAGCGTAATTTTGAGTAGCACTGTAGCAACAAATGTTGCCGTTTGATATTCTTGTTTGTTTGCATCGATTTTCTTTGGGGGTTTTTATAGCTGACGTGGAATGTTAACAATTAGCCACATAGCATTTTGTAAACCGTTTTAAGAGAATTTTATGAACCATGCTTATTAGGGGGACTACAAATGGTTTATGGTTCTTAAGCGTAGATTATCTACATATCACTGATGTACATGTGTATTTACGGCTAAACAAAACAACAGAACCATTCCGTAACGAAATTGTTGCATTCTCCGCTTATTAGATGTGTTGTGTTATTTATGAGATATAAAATTGTGTTTCTAAAGCCTGATCTGAGCTATATATATAATGCTATACTTCTAAGCTCATATTTTTTTTCCATTTGTGATAGTGAATTCATAGAGCAAAAATGATGTTCGAAGGACCGACAGACGACTTACAAAAGTGTAGTGGGTAGTCACATGTATGGCTCTTCACTCGTAGGTCATAAAGTCTAAAAAGGCAACTACAAGTCGGTTGTTCACTCAAGTCCCAAGCAAAACAAAAAATACAAAAACTCCAATCGCGTCGCGGCGCAACGCTCGACACGATGCCCATCTTACCCTGCACATGAGGTGGCCGACATCGGCGAGCTCTCAAAAGGCCCATGCGGATCTGTCAACTAAACGAGTAGATAAACAATTTTGTGATAGATTAGTTTAACAATACTAACAATTCAGTTAGAAATGTAAACGAAACGAGTCGAACTCGAGCTTTTTATACTTATAGTTCTGAAGAATTTTTTAATTACTTATTTTCATAAAATATCTTTTTATGGTCATTAGTTTAGATTGTTTTTTAATGAATATAGTATGATAGATATAGTCCTTGAAACATTTTTAACGGTTGACCCAATTCTATGTTGCATTTTTCCTATATTCATTACTTTTGATATTCATAAAGTAGTCATCTTATTACAAAAAAAGATAAATAAACAAATGCAAAAATAAAAATTTACATTGCTTCATGTTAAAATTAATTTGTATAATTTTTCATATGTTCTCACAACAGTGTATTTACATATCAGTGTTGATGTTATTCAATGCATAAATAAAAAAAATAAGTATAAAACTCTTGAAAAGTGTGATGAATAATATTAGATGTAACTTTTGTGGATTTCTAATAAATCTAATAGAATCCATGAGAATCCGTGAGAATCGATAAAACTCCACAAAATCTCATTCTTAGAAAAATCTTAAAATGTCTTTTAGAATTCTATTCATTTACACCCCCTTAATTTTTTGAAAAATTTATCTTTTTTTTTTTTTTTTTCCAAAACGATAAAAATTGTTATAACCAAAAGGCACAAAAGTGCAAATACAGCCCGTAACTGAATAAACAACTACCAACTAAAAACTGAGAGGACAGGTCAGAAGACCGCCTAGAGCCTCAACTAGCCACGCTAGAATAAAAACAGACACAAAAACACAAACAACAACTACAACCAACAACTAGAATCGCTCCCCACAGGAGAATAGGATCGGCCCCCACGGGGTAATCAAACACAGGGGTCAACGGCCCAGACCAAAAAAACAATCCTAAACAACACTGAAAACAGAACACAAACCAACCAAAAAAAAAACATAAACAAAATAAATCGAGAGCCCTTTCCACAACAGAAAACCACATCGAGCACAACAACGGCAAAGACTCGGTCCAAGATCCCGACCCAGAAACTGCCAGAACGCCTAACTAAGTCGAGAACCAACGGACCTAATCCTCGTCCAGACGAACAACACCACTGACGCCCCAGAGACATAGACACCTGACCAGCCAGCCCAGCCGGGCCCAGCCCAACCCAGCCCAGCCCGACCCAACACTGTCCAGCCCATAATCGCTCAGCCCAATGAACACAACAACCCAGCCAATCGATCTCAGGTGACCGCGACTCCAAAGCTCCACACCCGCACTTCCGGCGACCGCGAGACCAAAGATCAACACCCCCCATTCAATCGATGACTACCCAGGCTCCAATGCTCTGCGCTAAGACAAGGGCTATCCAATTTGGCCAGATCCCAATCTCCACCCCAAACCTAATCAAAAAATTGGGGTCGCAGCTCCCACCAAAAGAGCGCCGGAGGCCGCCGCTGCGGAGATACCGGAGGAGAACAACACCCTCCACACACTTCCGACACCAGAGGCTGAGCAACAGAGAACGGCACAGGCTTCTCCCCGGCGAAAAGCCCCCTCTAGTGGCGCTTCTCTTGGTGACGAGTTGCGGGGCCCAGAAGGGCCGCCGCCGAGCACTCGAAGTGCCCTGTCGGGGAAGGCAACGGTGGATTGTAGCGAGAAGCAGCGCGGGGAAGAAGGGGAAGAAGGCGATGCGAAGGGAATATTTTAATAACTTTTAGAAAAATTTATCTCTCCTACAAGATATGGAGAATATCTATTACTATATAATACAGTTAAGAAAAACTATTCAAAAAATTCGAAATAAATAATTCATTTTCCCGCTTTTTTAAAGTAATTTTTTTTGCTTTTGTATTTCAATTTTTACACTTTTTAGAATTTTTTTTTAATTTTTCTCAGAAATCCCGCCCATGCCATTCTGGTGTGCGGGTTAACTTTTTCAAAACTATTGGATGCTTCCTAAAATTGTGGGCATAATTCCATATTCTATACTTAATTGTATAATATTTGTTTTGGTCCTAATCTCTATTATTCTCATCTCTAAAATCGTGCTAAATTCGTATTTTTTTAACAATAAATTGTAAATGACAATTTTGTATAATTTTAACAAGTTAGGTTACTGTTATCTGCATAATTTTAAACAAGAATAAGTAAACAATTATATATCAAAAATTGACGAACATAAATTAAATAATATTTTAAAATTTTAATATGTTGTGTTACATAAATATTATCTCACATTGTAATTTATCTATATAAGAAACACACAAAATATTCACCATGCATATATTATTGATCACCATATTTAAAACATTCACCATGTTTTTAAACAAGAATTTTAAACTATAAATGAATTTAAAATTATATTTATATGCTATAAAAAAAATATATATTTATATCTATTTCTATATAATATAGCTAAGAAAAGAAATATATTATCTATTACTATATAAACTTTTTGAAAACAAATCTGAGTTTTTTTTTTTCGAAACGACATACATAACTATTAATAAAACAAAAGCGAACAACATTCGAATACAATGGAACAACCAAACTGAAAAGATAAACATGAGAGACACGCCAAAGGCGGTCTAGAACCTCAACTAACACCACAAAGCCTGAACTAAGCTAAAGAAACAAAATAAAAGGAAAGAAACTCCCAACCACTGCATAAGCTTAGCCAGAAGGAACTAACCCCAGACAAACAATACAACTAAAACCAAAAGAAAAAGAAAGAGGAAAGCAAAATACAAACTAAAGCTAGGAAGATGCAGAAATAAACTCCAACCAGTCCAAGTGAGCCATCTTGGCTAGCACATGCTCAGGGATCATGGTCTTTTGAAAAATCCAGATATTCTTGGACTTCCAAAGCCACCAAAGCAAATATGTAGAGAGTTGGATACGAGCTTTGGCACCTCAGAGGAGTCCAGTGAACATACTTGGTACCACCAGTCAGGAAAAGAATCAGTCTTTCTCTTAATGCCATCCCATTGTACAGTGCAAAGGTCCCAACATCTTCTAGCTCTTGCACATTTAAAGAACAAATGCTCTATAGTTTCTTGACCATCACCACACATAGAACAGATACTAATGTCCAGATACATGCCTCTTTTCAAAAGATGTACAAAACTGGAAGTGAATTTTTTTTTTTTTAAGCAAAAATTTCAAGATCCATTCTTATATCCCATAACAAAACCTAAATACAACAAGTCAACAATTTCTTTTCAAATGATCAATAAAATCCTCGAGGGACTAAAAACCAGTAAACAGACGATATTCAAACAAAACACCAGCCACATGCTCAGAGTCGGGGAACAAACCCTCAATCATTTTTCATATCTCAACGAACCAAAGAACTTCAATCACCCTTCTTCCTGAAAGAGCAGCCTTCGGTGAGCCTAGCACGGCCACCCGTAGGTTGGCACAACACCGTCTGGCAGTTTCCACATACAACAACTGTTTGCGAGTGGCTGAAAACAGTTGTTATGTTAAAGCAGCCCTGACACTTGACATCCATGAAAAACGAGTTTGGTGACTGAACAAGACGCTTAAGCTTATGCTTCCTCTTCTCGAGCTCCGCCGGCGGGTTGAGCAAATCGATGTCGTTTGGGAGAACCATTTTGGTCGAAAAATTGAAGGCGCAGAGCTGTGATGTTGAGAAGGAAAACGGCCAACACTACACACAGCTGAATGAGAGCAAAAACTGGAAGTGAATTGTTAAGGCATTTCCACATAAATAATTTGATCTTGCCTGCAATCTTGAGTTTCCAGTATCTGAGTTTAGTTCCAAGCTTGATAGAGGATGCATTGCTGCTTTTAGGGAGATCTGCCTGCAAGAACTTTGTAGTTGACAGGTACTTGTATGTACTTGAAACAATGAACTTGCCTTTATTTTCCAACCCCCAGTACAGTCTATCACTTCTGATAGCATGAAGTGTTGATATCCAAGATAGCTTTACTGTCATTTCCATCAAACACCTGATTCACCAACCACTCATTCCACTGATTGCCATTGGATTGCAGCAAGTCCTTAATCCATATAATATGACCTCTAGCAATAGGGATTAAGGAAGGTGTTGGATTTTTGAGATTAGGAACCCAGTTGAAATCTTCAACTCTGGTGTTAAGACCATTTGTGACTTCAATTTTCAGCCATTTAGAAAAGATAAGCAGGACTTCCGCCTGACTGTTCTACATCCAAGAGCCCCCTTGGATTTTTTGTGCATGAAAAATTGAGGTGTGAGGGAAATACCTGTCCTTGAGTAGT